ATACAGGCAGTCCCCGGGTTACATGGATCCGACTTACATCGGATCCCTACTTACAAACGGGGTGAGGCAACCCCGCACTAGCTGCTTCCCCCCCAGCAGACCAGGGAGATGCGAAGCTAGCGCCCCCCCACCCCAGCAGACCAGGGAGAGGTGGAGCGGCTTTTCTCAGCAGACACTTCAGCTTGAGAATAAAGGGCTGAGGGAAGTGAGGTGTGGGAGAATAAAACTGAGCTCTGGAGAAATGTTTGGCTAGAGTTTCCCCTACAATATGTACCAGTTCCGACTTACATACAAATTCAACTTAAGAACAAACCTACAGTCCCTATCTTGTACGTAACCCGGGGACTGCCTGTAGATCTCCCCTGCCCTTGCCCCCCCTCCCCTCCCGTGGCCACTCTCATATCGCATCCCTCCTCTCTGTACCCCCTCCTTTTCTATGTTTCGGAAAGCAGTCCAATTCGCAGACCAACAGTCCATTTTCCTAGCGCAATCACGCCCTGACCTTGCTTTAAATTAGGATAGGAGGAAGTTGCATACCAAATTTGGTGGCCCTGGCTCTTACTATTTAGGAGGAGTTCTTGAACAAACAGACTCATGGACAGAGTCACATTTCTAAAATATATAGACAGATAAGCTCTTTACACTAGATCTGACTGTATCCACACAAGGGGTCTTGTGCTATTTTAATTATACTGACTTAGTTAAAATGGTGCCACTGTGCAAGTGGGCCAGGAACGGATGGAGTCTTGACCCCTCAGTGCAGCTGCTGTGGACTGGCTGGGATCATTTGCTGTGTGAGATGCTGGATCAAAGAAGGGTCTGTTTTCCCCCTACAGCAGGGGAAAACTGGGAGGCAGCTTGTGACTCTCTGAATTATAAATTGCTTCCCAATCTGTTCCTAGGGTTGCCAGATGGTTTCAATAAAAATACGGGACACACTTGACATTGCATCACAATCTACATTACATCTTATTTAGAAAATACTGGACATTTGTATTTTCTCATTTCTATTTTCTCAATTTGTTTCCCAAACAGAAAGCTCAAATACTGGACTGTCCGGTTCAAAACTGGACACCTGGCAACCCTATCTGTTCCTGAGGCACATGGCTTGAGGCAATGCAAAAATTAGCATCATAATATGTTTAAGCATAATATGTTCCTCTGTTGGAAGACTTTGTATGTGCAAAGTATTATTACTGTTACTCTGTTTCCCACTGTATAAATCCTGCTGTTCATGGTGACATTTTATATTTTACAAATAGAATACTTTATAAACAAGGCTCTGACAGTGGTTAGTGATATTTAATTTGCAGAAGCCCAGAAATGATTTCCCCCCTTCTCCACCCCATCTTTTTAAAGTGCTTCATGTAATGGGTGCATTTAAATTTCCTTTCTTCTTCATCACTGGCAACATTTTCAGTCTTTGCTAGGTTTGCAGCTGCATTTGCTTTCTCAATGAGAGCCATTAAAAATGTTCTCCTGTTTGCCCCCTCTGGATAGCCATTCTTCTCAATGAACCCTCTTGCCTACTAGCCTCAAACCCATCAACTTACTGCTTCACTGCTCTCCCTAACGCAGGGACTTTATCTTGGCTTCAGAGATTTCTGTAGGAAGTCTTTTGTCTGCCGTGAGATTATTAGCAGTCAGTTTAGGTCATTGTTTATATTTATTTTTACACTATCATTTTTTTCCTAAATTCCTTAGTTGTTCCAGAAAGGAGTAATTCTAAATACTGTGAAGGTTTTGAAGTACTAAATCTAGACACTTTATTTAAAAGTTGAAGAGGGGGAAAAATGCTCCTGTTGTTGCTATCATGGTTTTGTAAATAAAGTTGAAGAGGGAGAAAAATGCTCCTGTTGTTGCTATCATGGTTTTGCAGCAAAAGAACAGCATCAGTTTTTTATATGTTTATATATGTGACCTCTTTGTTGTGGATAGATCATTGCTGCAGCACACCAGGACAGTAGCATTTAATAAAATCAGTGAACACTTGATTATCCATCTTAAATAAAAAAGGTATGTGAAGTTTAGGTTAATTTCCACATTTAATAACTTCTGCTATGGAAAAGGCAATTTTGTGAGTTCATTTCTGATAGAATGAAAAAATATATTTCTTTCTTAAGTACCACGCAGTACATCTAGTAGATGGCCATATATTTTTTCATTCTTTCTTAAGTACCACGCAGTACATCTAGTAGATGGCCCAGGGATCTTTGTTCTTTATGGCTTGCTTGCAAGAAAACACTTTGGATTTGCGAAGTTAAGGCAATCACTGTAAATTCAACACAGAGATATTTTAATGCTCATGTTAAATCATGGAGTGTTGTGGGTTTTTGTTTTTTGTTTTTTTGGTTGATTTTTTTTTTTTTACTTATCAGGGAGGGAAATATATGTCTGGTTCTTTGTCTTCTGTATTTTGTGACAAAGACATTCCCATTTGAATTGCTCTGCTCTATTCAAGCCCCCTCTGAGCCTCTGGTTAACAGCAGTCAGTCTTTGCAGTGTCCTGACGTCATCCAGTGTATGCATAAGCTATGCTATTGTCTTACTGAGAGCAGGGGCTGTGGATTGCAGTATCTGGTGTCTGCTACCTATTTCTGCCTCACTGCATCACAGAAGGGACACTGACCTTCCCTTACCTCTTGGATTTAAAACAGCAGCTCCTGACTTTTGCTTCCTGAAAAAGACCTTTGCTTTGGTTGCAAGGAAAAGCTGTCTGCAGTGTGAAGCTTAAGAAGAGAATCTGGCAGATTGGATAGCTTGGACTGCATTGTCTGGCTTCATGACCCCTGCTGTGTAGCAGTCTCATCCTTCTCTTACACACTCCCTCTATCTTTCACTCATTTTCCCTTTTTCCTTCTTTAATAGCAGCATCTGGGGCCAGCCATGTTTGGCACTGAATCTTCATGTAAGTAAATGCTTCCCACTTACATCCCTTTCTGTTTGTAACAGGGCTTGTTGTATCAACATTGAATCCACAGTAGTTGCATCCCTTTTGCTGTAGGTTTTAGCAAAAACGTGCTGTTCTAGCCTATTTGCAAAGGGGCTAAAGATGCTGGGGGAAAGCATCTACCTTCTATCTGTGTATGCATCCTTGAGGCCAGCACCTACTCAGCTTAGAGCTGTCAGCATTGCTGAATCCAGGCCGCTAGAAGATGCAGAGAAAAATGCAGTTTCACTTGAATGTGTTAATTGATAAGATCCTTATCCGTCAATGATCTATTGTGTCAAAACCAGAAATGAATGTGGTATGATAATGTGCATGTCTGAAGGAAAGGATGCTACAGGATTAGATCAGAAAAGGCTGCGAATAATTATTTTAACATGGGGGGAAAAGCTGGTGATGAAATTGTTCTCGGTATTTTTTTTCTTTGGTTTGGTAAAAGAGGAGTCTTTCTTAAATTCTTTTGAAATATGAGAAACCAAACTGAATGGGCAGTTTGGGAGGAAGGCAAGAATTCTGAATATGGGGTTAACAGTTCAAAATAATGGGGTCTTGTTTGTTTGTTTGTTTGTTTATCTCTGTGCTGAAAACTTGGAACTGCGTCTCCTGGGTAAAAGCAATGGAGACACATGTCACTGAAAACAAGTGAGATGTGTTTCAGTGTAAAGAACAATCAGTAACCTAGCAAAGCGAATGGAAGATTGCTTCTAGGACCTGTTTTATTATAATATTGTTGGTAGCAGACAGTGCAGTTACATAAAGATCTGTGGGTATCCAGTGATTTTCTATAGCTAATAAAAAATGCTTCATGGTATACTATATATTTAATATATTAATCTACACACTAATTACCAAAAGCATATCTAATTTAGCAGAAATAACCCTAGTTTATTTTGAGTTTAATTTATATGCAGTGCATTTCCACAATAGTTTGCATAGAACCCTGTTTACAGCTGGCCATTAACTAGGAAGCATACATTCTGGGCTATCTGGTGATCATGCAGTCTTAACTCTAAAGAACTTCAATCTTTCCAAGGGTTAATTGGTCCTGTTGATACACTGTGGCTGCTCCCTATTTCTCTTGAACAAGCCCTGTTCAAGGTCACGAAGGAAAAAAACAACAGAATTTGCTCTTTGATTTCTTATGTTTTTCTGGTCATTTTTTTCTGTATTATTGACTTTAATTTCTTTTCCTTGTTAGGATGACCAGATGTCCCCATTTTATAGAAACAGTCCAGATATTTGGCACTTTGCCTTGTGTAGGTGCCTGTTACTCTCCATCCCAATTTTTCACACTTTCTATCTAGGATGTATGCCTATATGGAGATCCCAGTGATAGGTGTAGAAAACGAAATGCCTAATATTTTACTTGAGTATAATCATAACACATCAGGAATTCTAAGGCACAACTTGTGTGTGTGCAATCTATATATTAACATACATTACAAAAAATCACGTGTTTTGGTGTTTTCTTTCAGAGAACGTGTGCCACGTAGTTAGAAATTCAGTAGTAAATCCTATTATTCATGTTGATGGACCCCTCTTGTTTTATAAAGTATATAATAAACGACTAGCTTATTATCTGTTCAACAGGACTTTTTGATACAGTCATCCATGTGCTATCTGGTTTGCTCTGACAACAGCTGTGTCTGCTTTTGTTTCCATGGTGCCCAGATTATTGAATTTAAAAAAGGGAGATTTGAGCTAGTATAACCAGCACTGCTTGTTTCACAGAATGATCTGAAGCCTATTGTGTGCCTAAAGTCAAACAAACAAACCAACAAAAAACCGCAAAAATTGGCTGTTGCGGTGGAGACTGCAGAGCCACACATGGGTTGTGCATTGCCCCACCCCTGCTACGATAGGTGCCACCAAGAGCACTCCCCAGCTGGCGACTTACAGAATGAAAGCCAGTCAAGTCAGGCATTTCAGAGTCTTTCATCCATCTTTCTGAGCCTTCACCTTCCTTTTGTATAAATCTCTTCCTTGTCTACTGTGTTTCTCTCTCTTTGACCTTTTCTACCTCAGGACACTGGGATCTTTAATGAAGGGGGCTGTCTGAGACATCAGTGTTATGGTTGGAAGTGGAAAGAACCTAATGTCATCTAGTCTGAGCTCCTGAATCATGGCAGGATAGTTGCTTTATTGCTAAAGCATCCCCAGTGATTGATTCTGCAGTGTAGACTTGGCCATGTTTGTTACACAGAATAGCAGTAATCATAGAACAACTTTTTTTTTTAAAGCAGTGAGGAGACCAAATTTTAAAAGCCTAATTTAAACAAATACTAGATTAGACCTCTTTTGCTTTTCATTTTCATTTTTCTTCCAGAGTCCTGAAGTCTGTGAGTGTAAGCTGTCTAGCTATCAGACTATAGAATTTTCTGTCTGGATAGAACAATATGGTTTGGCTCATTATACTTGCATTATGTTTAAAAAAAACCAGCACTGCCCCAACCTGGAGAACAGTACAGTAACAAGCCCTGCCAGCTGTCCAAAAAGCATGAAATTGATAGTAAGATTTTTATCGCAGCTGTATATATGGTAATAGAGTTAGGAAGCGAAGCTTTTGCATTGCATCTTGAAAACATGATACTCAATATTTTAAATAAAGAGAGAATTTTATTTTAACAAAAATGCACATAAGCAAACTCAGTGCTTTAAAACCTATATTCTGCCCACATTCAATATGATTGCACTGTGCCTTTAACAGCCAAATCTAGTGACCCATTCAGTGATTCCTGACAGCAGTCAGCAGCTCAATAAAAGACTATATGAGCATAATTGGAGAAATGCAGGCATGTTCTTATAGTGCTCATGGAGGAAGGGAAAGAACAAGAAACTCAAGGCTATGATCATTTTGTTACTTGTAATGATGGAAAACAACCATGTAATAGCAATTATTGTAAGAGTACCAAGCTAAGTAAAAATTACATGATGGTCCCCTGCAAACAGTTAAAAAAAAAGTTCTCTTTCACATTAGTTGCCTTGAATGCTTGTGTTTATCTTTTCTCAGCCATATGGCACTGTGTTATTATATGCAGCAGGGGTCCAAACTTCCATCCTGTGACCCTGTCCAGCCCACTGGGCGGACTTATCACGTGGTGATTGTTTGTTTCTACCTCCACGACTCTTTCAGATTCTGCAGAAGGCAAAATGTTCTTTGATAAAAAGTTGATGTTAGTCCTAAGGATGTGAAAGTGTGACTGTGTATATGGTTAACCAATGAGCCTGGGCTCATCGATTAACTTTCACAGTTACACGCAGGCTCACAGTACATGTAGGGACCTGGTTTCTTCCTGGGGAGCCATCTGCCACCCCATGCTGCAGCCTATTAGAGGCAGCAGCACAGGGGAGGAGGGCAAGTGGGAGCTGGTAAGCGTGGGGAGCTGGCTTTTAAGCTAGCTCCCCGCACTTACCAGCTTCTGGGGAGCCATCTTCCCTCCCAACCGCACATGTAACCATGTAACCGCTGAAATTTTCAGCAGTTATACGGTTAATTAAACACGGTTAACTAAACATGAAATACTGTTGTTATAAATGCAACCATCTCTAAAATTTGTGAAGAACCCGCATGCACATCAATCAATCACAAAACCTAATAGCAACCTATTAAGAGATAGCTTTTCCAATAACATAGCTGTGCAATAGTTTGTCTGATTTGCAGATGCAGAAGTTACACTTGTACATGCAAATAAAGTAATTACATAGCTGAAAATAAACAAATACGGACAGAAATAGAATTGGTCCTAACTTGCTCTATGACATGTTTTTCCCAATGCAGGATAAGGCATGTAACAGTAACTTTAATAAGTAAAACATTAGATCCCACTCTCACCCTTGTGACCTGCACATGGCTGGTCCTTCTGCAGGTGTATGTGAAGAAGTGGGTCCAGCTGGCTTTGCAGCAGCAGTTCCCATGTTTCCCCTGAGAAGAGCTGTTTGTTTGGTGAGAGGGAGCAGGCAGTCTTCACAGCTTGCAGTGTAATACCTCCCCCTCATCCTCTTCTGGGGTGGGACAGATTCAAATTGGTTGCAGCTACAGCCAGGGGAGGCCCTGACAACCTAACCCTGTTGAATCCGTGCTGTGAGAGAAAAGAGAATATAGAGTGATGAGGCCCTAGCACTATCAGACAGGCACTGGGATGCCAGGGATCTGCACTATGTGTGAACCAGATACTCTAGGTAAAACTAGGGGTGTTAGATATCGAGTAATTGAATAATTGTGTAACTGCATTAAATATTGGTGGTGGTACAGTTATTGAGCAGTCCCTGGGGGCGGGGCCGGCAGCCAATGCATTCTCAGCTGCACGGGAGCAGGTATGGGCAACTGTGGAGTGGCTGGCGGGAGCTGGTCTGTGAGGGGAGTCAGTTTAAAAGCCATTTTCTCCCTGAGCACCAGTGGAACTGCCTGCTCCCCTCCAGACACACAAGAAGGGAGGCAGCAAGGGCTATCTAGAGATGTAATACAAGGGGGCTCATTCAAATTTACAAAGACAATATTTGTAAATCAAGTTTACTGTGCAATAAAACAAGCTGTATTGTGCTATGGAAGGGAAATGGAGACAAATGAGTCAAACTTTCCATTCACATACAATTAAATTCCATCTGTCAGATTTGCCATACAAGTGGCTAAACTAATGTCTTGCTTTAAATTCTGAGTCTTCCAAAGTGTGATATAAATCTGAGAAACGTGTCTGTGGTCATGAAAACATAGGTAACTTGCTTTAAACTAATGTCTTGCTTTAAATTCTGAGTCTTCCAAAGTGTGATATAAATCTGAGAAACGTGTCTGTGGTCATGAAAACATAGGTAACAAATTTCTTTCAACTGAGCAGTTTCAATATTCTTCACTGAGGAATTTTACTCACTCATACATACGTTCATTCAGGGTTTTATTCTATAAGATTTATAATAACCACTGTAAAAACTGCACATCTTCCTTTGGAAAAACAAGAACATATTTT